CTAGTCCCTACCCCAGCATCAATGTTATCGGTAGAGGTGTGCAGTAACTTGTAGAGTTCCGCTTTCCTTGCTGTTGCGGGGAATGGGATTTGCCGTCTCCTGAGTTCGTTGGTTATGCGAGGGATTGTCCATGACCTGAAAGATGCTGGACTAGCCACCTCTCCTCCCTGTGATGGGGAGTTTGCTCTAGCCGGAGTGCCCGGTAGGGAGAAATCCTATACCCCTTCTTGAGACATACTAAATGACAAAATATTTGGTTAGTGTATGGAAACACAGGGGTGGTAGTGGCAGGCTAACTAGGCCGGAAAGGCAAAAAATTAATCTTGTTTGACAGGTGAGGCCCTGCTAGTTGCCAAGTGGCTATGAGAGGCTCTGTCTATGTGTTGAGGCCACCCGTCGTAGTGGCAGGAATCGTAGGCCTCTCGGTGATTGTAAAAGAAAACAGGGGGAGGGAGTGACAGGTGAGGCCCTCTCTATAATATTGCGAGGCGGCTAACTCACGTGTGGCCCAATGCGCATTTTCCTCCGAAACGTTGAGGCGGGGTGTTGGCCTCGCGGACCACTAAACGATAGGCAGAGTGCCAAGAAGGGAGATACCTATTTGGGCCCATACCCCTAACTTGCCAGTACTCTGTGGCCTAGGGAAAATGAAATGTATGTGAACTACAACGTGAGCAGGCTTACGTACCTGGTAGTTGTGATACTTATTGTGTAACACTTCTTTAATTGGAACTCAACTGCAGAATTTTCTGAGTGCAGGAACAATAAGTTTCACCTCCTTTTATATTGAAGTGAAACAATGGTGACTGTATCTTTAAATAAATAAGCAGGAAAAATGCAAAGTTAGTTCCAACTTGAATAAGATGGAATAATTTATGAGTAATTTAATAATGAAGTTGAACAGGCTTGCAGTTTGAATAAATTGATATTGGTAGGAAGAATTAGCCTTAGCAACAATCCCTATTTGTTAAGTGAGAGATTAGAGAAATTAAGTACTGTAAATAATTGATATGACTTGGTTTCCTTGGCAAAAGATTTACTTAACTTAGAGGCAGTCTGGCACTGGAAGGGTTAATTCACCCAATGGAGGAGAAGATAGGAGTCTCTTTTAACAAACTGAAAATCAGGAGTGGAGAGAAAGGAAGTCCGTTTTTGCAAGCCGAGGTCTGGAAGAGGAGAAGGTAGGAGTCCGTTTACAAGCCGAGGTCTGGGAGAGGAGAAGGTAGAAATCCGTTTACAAGCCGAGGTCAGGGAGAGGAGAAGGTAGAAATCCGTTTACAAGCCGAGGTTGAGAAGTGGAGCCGGTAGCATCAAGTAGAGCAGCTCATCTCACTGCAGCACCTGAGTGAATAATCCAGCCCTTTGAATCTGGCGCGGTCTTCCTAAGTATCGTGGAAGGACCGCGTCAGAAAAAGGGGCGGGGCTAAGCGCTGTGAACCTGGAAGTGGGTTCCGGCGGCAGCATGAATGTTAGAGTATACCTGACAGTAGTATGTATAAAGTTTTGAGATTTCGACAGGTATAACAAACCTGGATAAACCTAAATGGGTAGAAACAAAATGTGATAGAGTGAGAATGGATCCTGTGAGACCTGTGTAGTCTGTATAGGCTGGGGTTTGGGCTTCTACCAGTATGTGCGGGAGGTAAAAAAGACTATAAGTATGATAGTGACATGACTGGCCCATGCTAGGCGTAAAGCTGAGTCTGAACCGGGTAGCAGGGGGTTGGCCGTGTAGTGTGTGTCTACAGAAGGTGACCAGATGATATGCATGTCACTAACTGATCTGGGAAATGCTAGGGTTTGAGTATTCAATGGTGCATGGAGGGGTGGAATGATCATGTATTGAATATATATATATATATATATATATATATATATATGTGTCGTGGCATAAAAATGGAATCATGTGGATGAGGTTGAAAAATTATGTGAAGTGACAATATGCAGAAACATAAAAAGTTGTTGTAACGTGACGTATGAATGGTTGAACCAAAGCGTGTGATTTAACCCGAAAGTCTTGTGAAAGATAGGACTGTGTTCTTGTATACTCGTGGTATGTCGTCTGAGTATGCCAAGAAATGGTCTGAAAATTGTAAGTGCCATGTAATCATGATGTACATGGTTGTAATAAAAGCATGATCTCCATAAAAACCTTTAGAAATAAGCCATAATCGCAGGCTAAACCATTACTGTAATATACCTGAAATATCTATAATTTAGTAACTTAAAAAATTATAATCTAAACCAATATACATGAGAAAATGTTAAAATGATAGAAACCTAGTATGGTATGAATAAGTAAAAAAAACACAAAAAAGAAAAGGATACTGCAAATCCTCAGTACATAGAAACAACTGAGGCTTGCTGTATCACCTGGAAATCAAAATATAACTATGTAGTCCTATAAATTAACTAATGAATAATATAATGAAGACTACTGGCAAAGAGAAACTAATACTCCCATATGCGTTACGCACAGATGCAAATACTAATTTATACCAGGAACAACTGGATACATACTGCTTATACCTGACTATTCCAAAGCAGAATGTGTTTATGATAGATGCCACACCTCTATCTATAAAGGGCATGATATGTCAAAAACACAAGCTCTTCCAAATGCAGCAGCAATGTAAGTGTAGAGACAGAGAGATAGGAGAAAAGTGACATTATATGTTAGAAAGTATCCTGGTAAGCTGATTAGTTATTCTCTGAAGAAAAATAGAAAAATTGAAAGGTGCTATAAGAAATGTTCAACATGGCATTATACCAGTGCCCCATATAAGAGGAAACGCTATCTTATGAGCACTGGGCACTGGTGTATATAGCACCATGTTGGGCATTTACCTTTTATATAGCACCATGTTGGGCAATGACCTTTTGGGATTTTTTTCTATTTAATATATTCTTCATTTCCATTTCTGCTCCTATGTCTATTTAGTCAGCTTACCAGGGGGAGAGGCTTTCTAACTATATAATGTCAGTTTTTTAGAAACTGTACACTCTGTATTACTACCTCTCCTATCTCTCTGTGTTCTACACTTATTCCTTGCCTGCTTACATTTGGAGGAGCTTGTGTTTTTGACATATCATGCCCTTTATGTAGATAGAGGTGTATTTTGGCATCTATATAAACACAATATTCAACCTTTGGACAATAGTCAGGTATAAGCAGTGTGTATCCAGAGATGTTCCTGGTTTTGGTATAAATTTTTTTACTATTTTTCTACTGGACCCATCCCTACTTAGTATTTTCTCTAATAAAGTGTTCATATAGAGGGCTGTGCATTCAGTATTTAGGTATTTTATAACATGTACCTGTGGGACTTTGTTATCTGGAAGACATGGGAGTATTAGTTTCTCTTTGCCAGTAGTCTTCATTATATTATTCATTAGTTAATTTATAGGACTACATAATTATATTTTGATTTCCAGGTGATACAGCAAGCCTCAGTTGTTTCTATGTACTGAGGATTTGCAGTATCCTTTTCTTTTTTGTGTTTTTTTCGCTATCTGGGGTTAAGCCCCTTCAGGGACTTCTGGAGTCCCACTGTGGTACACAGGTTTCTGGGTGGGACCCTGACACTGTCCCCCCTCTTCGTTAGGGGGAAGTGTGTGGATACACACCCAGATCTCTGGTTCTCGTTGGTTTGTTTTTGGTATGAATAAGTATATGAAAGTATAACTGATTTAAACGAATTTATAACAGTACATAGAAAAGGTAGATGAACCGAATTTGGTTTAATATAAAAACAGAAACAGAGTTTGCCGTAAGCAAGATGTGAAACGAATGCGTGCATAACTGAACAAAACTGTCGAAAGCTTAATTAGAATGAAAAGAAAGAACAGTGTCATTCGTCAAAAGCTTGACCGACCTAGACAAAAGATATTGTATACAGATTGAATTAAACCGAACGGAAGGCAGCATGAATGAGTGCTTACGGTAAAATGAAATGAAAACGAAATGAAATGAAATGAAATGGTGTTAGGAAACATGAGTACCATATGGTAGAAACATAAGGATTACGGCACGAAAGTTTAACCGAAATGGGAAACAACGTTGATTTGTGACCTTGCCGTAAAGCCGGAGAGCTGTAAAGTGAGGACCCGTTTGAAAACGGAACGCCGTGGGAATAATCCAGGCGTCGGATTTACGATTTTGAAGTCCCTGGGACATTATCTTCGACGAAGACCGGAGTTTACGAGGAGCTGGACGGGCGGAAAAGACCTTCAAGAGGATTCCTGGACACAGCTACACGTGAAGAAAATCGTGGGTTTCTGAAAAACGAAGATGGCGCCGTACGAGAACTGGAAGTGAATCCTCATGCAGCGCTGACCTCGACCGGTATGGAGCCAGGTAAGGGGTGTCCCTTAAGTAGGGAAGGGGTGTGTCATATGCCCCTCCCACAATTACAGTCCAAAAGGCCTTAATATATATATATATATATATATATATATATATACAGAACAAAATTATAAATGCAACGCTTTTGTTTTTGCCCCCAGTTGTCATGGGCTGAACTCATTTTTTTTTCTCACAAAATACTTTTTCTCTATGTACACAATGCCTCTTTCTCTCAAATATTGTTCACAAATCTGTCTAAATCTGTGTTAGTGAGCACTTCTCCTTTGCCAAGATAATCCATCCACGACAAAGGTGTGGCATATCAAGATGACTAGACAGCATGCTTATTGCACAAGTGTGCCTTAGGCTAGAATGCAATTACTTTATCCACCATTGGGGGCGCTATCGGAAATGGCCACATATTGCAATCGGTCTGAAACATATGATTAAAACCAGGTTAGTGGACGATCATATATACATGAAAGCTGTTGTTTTGTTTGTTTTTTTTGTTTTTTTTTGGGGGGGGGTTGTTAAAGAA